TCCAGATTGTCTCACAGCCGAGGGCCCCGATTGAATACAGTTGCAGACTTCCCCTTGGACCTGATGCTGTCTGGGTACCTGCATACAAACAAGTGTGTGTGCTTGACCGGGGGCCTGGGCTGGGTACCTTTGGACTTTGACTGTTGGTGTCACAACAGTTGACAAAAGTCAACTGTCACACGTCCAGGCCCGGAATGATCGTGTGGGGTCTTTTTCCCCAGTTTTGGCCTGGGCTGAGGGCGGCCAAGTAGGCCCTCAGATATTCCACGAGACATATGGCATGGGTTATTGCACTTTGCTCCTGCCAAATGATACATCCATGCAGAGAAGACTCGTGTAGTGAGTCCACTGACTGTCTTTCATGCCATAGCATGACACAACACAAACCTTCATCAACAGATGTCACCACAGTACGAGTTTCAGAGGGACTATTACACTCTTTCACTGTAATGCAGGCCTGGGGATCTAAACCCTGGCAAATGGTTTTGACAGACAAAAGTGTAGCCTTGCTAGCCCCTACATTTCAGCTGTAGGCTCATAGGCAGAGGCTAGGCTAGCTGCTCGAGCCCAACACAAAAGACTGTCGAACACACTTTTCTTGCTCATGCGGGGAAGCAATTTGCCGGCGAGAGAGACGGAGCACATTCATAGCTGAATGGCTCCTTACCAATACATCATCGCTTTGTTTTCTGTTCTTTGTACCGTGATCTATGTTGATGGGCGACCTGGGATACGACTTTTGGCACCGTTACATTGTGTGATTTGTCGCGTGTGAGCAATTAGTTGCCAGTTACTGATTGCTGGCTGAAGTATATCAATCAATTTACTGATTGCTGAAGTATACCAATCAATGATTGAAATGCTGAAGTTGAAATCTGTGTGCTCCTGGCACTTCAGCACACCCCACTTTTTCGCGTGGCGACAGAAGGGCAAAATAGGACACGACTTTCTCATTGGTAACATGCTCACCTGACTCAATGACATATCACCATGCAAAGCAAGGGCCAGAGAGCGAGGAATTGGTGTTGCAGACATGGCTAGTATATGTGGCGACGGACCAACCAATACACCAGACCCTCCTTCCCTGGCCCCTTTTAAAACAGCTTCATCAGATTCAGATCCCACATCATTTGATCGGATCGGACCACGACCCTGCACACACACAGAAAAACGATTCCATAGTGCAAGTTAATAGTCTCACAGGCCAGGCTAACGGGATCTGGATTATCCAGGTCTAGAACAGGACATCTGACCTGTCGGACAGCCCAGATGTCAGGATACGCAAGATCAAAATTTTGAGATGTTTCCCGGAACTTACTCCTGAATTTCCTGAAGTTTCAAAGAAGGCAGAAAAAGAAAAGGAAGAATGAGCTGACAGTTAATCCTTCCAGCATAGGGAGCAATCAATGCTGGTCAGGGGTCCTTCGGCCAAGCGGAAGGAAGCGTGAAGGTGTCAATGATGTAATACATGACTTGCCGGAAGAAAAGCAACCAGACCGATGCTTCCCAGAATTGGGAAAAAAAAGGAAAAAAAGAATCTGAAAGGCAAGCATGTTGCAAATCCACAACCAATCTGCTGTGCAGACAATGGTTCGTTGTTGCATTATGACACCCTGTGCACGTGCCTCCAGCAGGGCCCTGAGCTAGCGTAGGGGAAGCTGTCGGGATAGGAGGTTGTGGGTTTGAGGCTGGTGTCGATGGTCGCCATGCCTGACTCTGCCTCGAATCTTCTTGGTGTAGCTCTCCCCAGCTGGGGTCTCCCTGCTGCAGCGCCCACCAATGTGATAAAGATGGCTGCCACCATAGCCAGGTAAGTACCTCTGGTGCTCCCCCTTCCTCCTGCTCTTCTTCCTCCTCCGTGTCCTTGCTCCTTCTCCAATGGCGCTGCTCCAAGCTAGCACTGCTCCAGCCAGCGCTCCAACCAGTGTGTCACCGAACTTGCACACCGACAATGAGGCTGGGCTCTTCGCCCGGCCTGGAGATATAGCGGCCTGCTTGCCTCTTGGGCGGTGACTTCCAGGCCGCTCGGCCTTCCCAGCAACCAGTACCTCCTCCCTCTCGGAGGGAATCATCATTGCAGACTCTGATATTGCCCGTACAGACCCTAGACTCAGACTGGTTGGACTGGTACCCGCCTAGACCTAGCCTACAACTACTGGGCCTCTCAAAATGCCGCTTTTGTCTTCTTCTGCTCGGCCTCCAGTACCCGCACATCATCCTCTTCAGGGTGCGGTACTGGCCTACCCGCTACTTGAGTGTTTCCCCCCGGCTGCAATCCCTCAATGTCACGGCCACAGGTAAGTACTGGCCCTGAGGGCCCAACGGACGGACAAGTACCCTTGCGGGTCACACACACACTCAAGCCAACCAGCACTCAGACAGACATGCAGACCAGCAAGCATGCACACASACACAGACATGCAGAACTTAGTGGCAAGCGGGAAACTCAGCAAGGCATTCAGTCCGTGAGCAAAACTCAGAAATCAGCTGTGTGTCTCAGTCCATGTTTGGTCGGGTCATCACAGAGAAGAGAAAGAGGGAAAACGGATAAGAAGAACTGAGGTTCACCAGAATGGTGTTAATGGCAAGACGGATGAGAGAAAACGGGAAAGAAGCTTGAAATTCGAATGGGTCGCTAGAATGGTCACTAGGGCCAAAAAATTGAAAAACTTAGTAAAAGTGAATTTTTTGCCAGTTGAAAGCTTTGCAAAAAGGTAGGATAGGTGATGAAGCAAAGGTGAGGGAAGGAGCTAAATGTACGGAGAGTCGGAGACACGGAGAGGGGAATAGGGGAGTTGTACAGTTAAGGACAGGGACATGGTAGGGTAGGCATACATAGTGCAGAAAGAGGGCTTGAGCAGTAAGACTTTGGGGAGACTGAGGGATGGGATGCCACATGCGGCCTTAGAGACTGCTACGAACCCCAACCCCCCACCCCCTCTCTCCCCTCCGCACCCTGCCTCCCTTGGGATCCTTCTGCTGCGTGATTGGGTGCTGCCAACAATCTTCCCGGCCAGCAGAAGCACCCCTGAAGGAAGGACAGGGTTTGGGGGGTAGCAGCCCCCCCTTTGCATACGCGTCTACTGCCACAAAGGCAAGGCTGTCTCTCGTTCTCTCTCTATTATTTGTACCTTCATGCTTGCCGGTAATAAGCAGCTCGACTGACACCCCCCAGAATAGAAGGGGCCTTGTGTTGTTAAAAAAAGAAAAAGAAAAAGAAAAGAAAAGGAAAAACAAGAAAGAAAGAAAGAAACGAAGGAAGAAGAAAGCTTTGCGAAAAAATGCAGGCCTGGCCTATAGAAAGAACTTCAAAGAAGGATGATTTTGAAAGAAAAGGGGATAACTCTAAGGTTACTAAAAGAGTTGGAAAGGATGTTAGCATTGTAAAAGTATTAAAAACAAATCAGAAAGAAAAGCTGAATAGCATCGGGATTACCAAGGGCCGGCCACCACAGGATATATTTCAAGGCTCACGCTGTTAAAAAAAATAAAGGAACAATTATCTGAGTGGGGATCCGGGCCGCCCAGGTGACCGGCAGGGGCCCGGGCGGAGTCCCGGGCGGCCTGGCCGGGCAGGGCACCCGGTTGGGGGCCGGGCCCCCCCAGCGCACTCACCTGTCGGGGGATTTC